GGGTTGCTGTTCACTCTGTTCGCTTTGTTCTGTTGCACACGATTCCTTCTGGTCTGTAGCCACCCTGTGTGTGTGCCTCAGTTTCCCTGGGCACTGCACCGGTGCCCCGCTGGGGATGGGGGTTTTGGGGGTGACTCTCACTGAGGGGGAGGCTGCCCCATCTTAGCACCAACACAACGATAGTGCCGGCTCTCTTGTAACCTGCGCCTAGGCGGGGGGAGCAACCAGGTGGCACCTTTTTGCCTGGGAAGCTGGACACGAGAGGAGGTGGGGCTGCCTGCAGGGCTGGGACCAGTTGCTGGGTGCGTGAGTGGGTCTCGTTTGGCTTAGGAGGGGCCCAGGCTCTGGGTGCCCCTCTCCCCAAGATGGATCATACAGGCTGCTCCTGGTTCCTGTGCTTACCAGTCTGTTGTATGCTGTATCCCTGTGAACCTTCTACTCTACCTGCTGGCCGAGAGTTACATCTGGCTGCAGATGGGGATTCAGAACTTAGTGACTCCCCCACACTTCGTGACAGAGACCTCAGAAGCCAAAGGGACTGGGTGCTGAGAGCCCCACAGAGAGCTATAGGGTTCCTGGAGGATAGGATGTGGGCAGGGGGCCGAAAGGGCCAGTGGGGATCCTTTGTAGCTCAGAGGTTCAGAAAGTGTTTGAGGGGTGGCATGGGGGGAGTGTGTTTTGTCTGTGTTGTCCCATTAAGAAGGGACATGTTTGTGCCATCACAGTGGGAGCTCGAATATTGTTCTGGTGATATTGAGTGCTGTGGCATGTGCTGCCTGCCGGGAAGGCAGTGTCTCTGCTGTTGTGCAGATGGAACAAGCCTAGTTTCTGTGACACAAGTAGCCTATCAAGTTAGGCAGATACCAGTTGCTTTTCCCTGAACCACAGCTGTCTCATAGTTCTGCTCCCTCCCTTCCTTCCAAGTGCTACCTGCTAGTAGCTATTAAATAATACCCATTGGGAGTGAGGGTTTTACATCTGGCACGTTGGTCTCAGCTCCCTAATGAAAAGTTGGATAGGTTTAATACAGAACGATCCCGTACTGTAGAGAACTGTAGGATTTGTCAAACCCACTTTAGACAGGAACTTACCATCTATTACATTCTACAGGTTTTTACCAATGTTTATTATCATTCCCGTGGTAACGGGCTAGTGAGCAGGTTTTATGCTTGGGCTACTGTTTACATTGCAACATCACAGGTGATCACAGTTCTCTCGCAATGCGGCATGTTTGCTGTGTCAGCCTCTGATGCTTTCAGTGGGATAATGTATCTCTTTTTGAACTGTCAACCGGCACTAGTCCCTGTACACAACAATAACATAGTTCTGGGTAATACAGAGTAGTTAGTTGTTGGAGTCCCTTGTCTTCACAAGCAGGTATTCGTACAGGAAGTAGGGATTCATACAGGAAAATGTGTTACAGGAATAGATTTGAGCAGTTAAATAGAAGCATTTTGCTGTAATTTAAGTTGTTATATGACTCAGGTAATCCATTTCTTTTTATACACAGAAAGTGTTGGTCCTTTTTTATTTTCTGATTATTTATTTTAACTACAATTTTCTAGTAGGTTTAAATTTGGTTAGACGTGTGTATATATATATATATGTTCCTATATTTGAAAAATCACTTTAAAGTGCTGGTAATGCAAATGGAGTAAACAAATTAGTCTATTTTAACTCTTCCTCAATTTGTGTTCCTTTTTCCCCTTTTAGTTATGCTGTGTCTAGGAAAATTGAACCATTCTACAAAGGAGGAAAAATTCAGGTAATACAAAACCCCAGAGTCTTTTACTGAAATCTTAGGAGTGGAAAGTAAATAACGATATGTTGGTACTAATGCGTAAAAACACATCAGCTCTTTTTGTTGCCATTGACTTTTTCGGGGATTTTTTTTTTCAGATAAGCCAAGATGGAAAACACATGTTTTGCCCCTGTGGGACAAAACTAAATGTAATGGACATAGCAACAGGAGCCCTCGTTCACAGCATCGAACAGGTGAGATGCTACAAAATTCAACTAACAAGTTTTCTAGATTAACTTTTTTCCTACTAATGTGATGTATTGAATTTGATATTTTTAAATGACTTTCAAAGACAATGTTTTACCTTTACTGCTGGGGCATTCATCTAAATCTATTGAGAGGAAAGTCTGAGAGAGGTGTCTGAATCCAGACAGATACAATATTTATTTGCTATGCCCCGGCTACAGGGAGATTTGAAAACATTTACAAAGTTTAGTTTTGGCTAGGTCTGGAAGTAGCTGCTAAAACAGTTTTGTGCCTTGGTCTAGAAGAGGACCTTTTTTCAGTAGTGCAAAGAAGCAATTCTGAGTTTCCATGAACAAGCTTGGTCTGCACATGGAATGAAAGAAAATGTTTTTTTCCCTGTACTTTTGTACTACATGCAGGGTTTTTTTCCCTTTTCTATGCATCCAAGTGGGACTAGTATAGTCATGGTCCACGATGTAAATCCCTGCTACACCTTGACTACTGCATGCAGGACCAGTCTCTATCCCAAAAAAGATATATTGGAACTGGAAAAGGTGCAGAGAAGGGCAACGAAAATGCTCAGGGGTGGGGAACAGCTTCTATATGAGGAGAGAGGGGTGGGGGGAACCCTGGGACTGTTGAGCTTAGAAAAGAGATGCCTAAGGGGAGGATATGGTAGAGATCTATAAAATCATGACTGGCTAGAGGAAGTGAATAGGGAAGGGTTATTTGCCTCCTTCACATAACACAAGAACCAAGGCTTCCCAGGCAAAACTAATAGGCCAGCGGATTGAAAACCAACAAAGGAGAGTATTACTTCATGCAATGCTCAAGGGATGCTGTGAAGGCCAACAGTATAACTGGGTTCAAGAAAGCATTAGATAAGCTGATGGAGGATAGGTCCATCAATGGCTATTAGCCAAAATGGTCGAGGACACAGCAACATCCTCCACATGTCCCTAAACCTGCAGGAAACTGGGACTGAATGACCTTCCTGCCTTATTCCACTCTGAGGCCTGGCCACTGAGCTAGATGGAGTATATGTCTGGCCCAGCATGGTGGTTCATAGGTGCTTGTTTATTGTGGGAAACTGGATTTCGTCTCTAACTCCAGGCCCTCGTGCAATGTGGTGGTGGGATGTGCTTGTGGACATGCCTCCTGGTAGGCTGCAGTGAAATAATAAGCACGAGAACCTCCTGATCAGAGTAGGAAACTTGCCTGTGAACCAGGGGTGGGCAATAATTTTTGATGGGGGGTGGGGCACACCAAGATTTTGGTAAGTGGTGAAGGGTCACACTTTTCTAGGGAGTGTGGGGTCTGGGATAGAGGTTGGGTGCAGAGGGGAACTTAGGTTAGGGTATGGGGGTGCAGGAGAGGGCGTGGGGTCTGAAGGAGTTTGAGTGAAGGGGAGGGTGTTGTGACTGAGGCAGGGTATTGGGGTGCATGGCCTTGGAATGGTATGCGTGCAGGTGAGGATTCTGGCCTGGGGGAGGAGTGTATGGGGGGGGGGGGAGCTGGAATGGGGGGGAGCCGAGGGTTTGGGTGGTAACCTGGGGCAGGAGGAGGTGGGGTGGAGTACCAGATGCAGGCTCTGGCCAGGAGACGCTTACCTAGGTGGCTCCCAGCCAGCCATCCAGCAGGAGACTCAGGCAGGCTCCCTACTTGCCAGCAGCCCAAGATCTCTCAAAAGGGCTGGCTGCTCCATGTGGCTCTCGGCACCATGCATCTGGGGGGAGGCTTTGCACCCTGCCCAGGCCCCCGCACAGTCTCTCGGCTCCCATTGGCTGGTTTCCAATGTAACCTGTAGCATGTGTAAGCAATATAAAACCTGCAAAGAGACTAGAACGGTGCAGTATTTAAAAGTATTGCACAGCTGATTTCACTGTCTTTTTCTTTCTAGGATGATCTAGAGGATATTACATCATTTGTTCTTAGCCCTGATGACGAGGTATGTGACACGTTACTTTAGGTTTTTTATTTTCCATCCCACTTTAATAGGTCCCAAAAATAAAAGCATGTTAGTACTGGAGAATATGCTGCATAGAATCGTCCTGCACTCGCAAAGGGTGATGGTCTAATTTTTCTCCTGACATTTAATTTCTAGTAGGATTTTCCAGTTATTACAACAGGGCCTTTATTAGCTGTTTGCTGTTATCTGTAACGCCTGCATCTGAAAGACTAGCAGTTGCTTCTAAATGTATGCAGCGGGGGAAGGGGAAGAGGGAGGGACTTTTACCTGTTTATTGTATCACAGCCCAGTGCATTGTGACGTACTTACACTTTTATGAGTGTTATTTATATGGCTTTTGTTATTAAAAAAAAATGCTGGGAAATAAATTAGTTTCAGAGTTAGCTTGTTTCGGTAGCTGAAGTTTCCTGGCTTTTGTCAGTCTCTGGGTTTTCTAAATTTCACAGTGTACAGGATACATAATGCATCACACAGCATGTGAATGTACTTACAGGCTAACTTATCTCTGTATTTTCTTCTTTTCCCCTGCTGCGTGTTTCTGTTAGATTCTTGTGACGGGAAGCCGGGCGTTGCTGCTAAAGCAGTGGGAATGGAGAGAGAACAAGTGTAGACGTACATGGAAAGCAACACACACGGCACCAGTGGCCACCATGGTCTTTGACTCCACTTCCACCTTGTTGGCCACAGGTACAGTCTGACTTCAGTGTCACGTGATGGGGGAGTCTGTTTTGGTGCTGAAATGGCCCAGGTTCTGTGATGTTAGACAGCAACCCCTGCTGTTTGAATGAAGTCAGAAACTTGAGAGCCTCTCAAGACTCTCCTGGTGCAAACTAGCGTCTTATTGCAATAAGTAAAAAAGATTAGTTGAACATTCTACCTGTTGTCAGGTGTACTTAGAGGCAGCTTGTTTAATGGCCTGAGCACAGATCTGGAAACCAGAAAATCCAGCTGAGAAACTGACTTTCTGGTGGGGGGAGGAGAGAGGTTGAGCAAGTCTTTTAACTTTTCTGTGTCTCAAGGTGTCTTCATCGGGGTTCTCTGTAGGCTGTGCGCTTGTGCAGCCACTCAGAAGAGATTCAGATGTCACCCAGCTGATTAGCAAAGTGCCCACAGCTAGGTTTTGTGTTTCTATTGGTGGTGCGTAGTCACACATGCCTTGGTGCACATAACAAATCTTCCACACATGGATGGAAAAAATCTGCATGTGAATGAGAAAGTTTAGAGTAAACATTGGTCCTCAAGTCTGAGTATGGACAGTAACTGTACCTGTCTGTGGTGAAGATCGGGGAGTTAATACTTACAAAGCCCTCTGAAAATGTAAAGTGCAGTATCTTTGGGAACCTGCCTGGTGGTTGTTGTGACCAGCTGTTCTCTCCCATTTTCCCTCTTCTGCTGTTGTAACCTGTGAAACTAGTGTCCCAGCTCTGCTGTGTTGTCCATTTTGGTTAATTCTTTCATGTCCTTTCTTCGTGTAGGTGGCTGTGACAGCACCATTAAGATCTGGGATGTTGTCAAACAGTATTGCACGCATAACCTGAAAGGATCTTCAGGGGTTGTACAGTAAGTCAGGAGAAAATCCTCTTACCCTCCCTTTTCCATTAGGGAAACTAGCAGAGATCATTTTACCAAAACACTGACATTCCACCCAGGTGTTCTGTCTGAAATAAGGAGCAATGACTTGAGGTCCTGGATTTGTGGTCCCAATTCTGTTAGCATGGCAAGCTCGCTCAAGGCTTTTGGCTGCTCAGCATTTGAAGAGAGCAGGGAGAAGCTCCCCATGCTGCAATTCTAGTACATAAAAGCTAAGTCACCAGCAGGCCGCTGATGCAGTCCTCCGCTTGATAATAGCGAGCTTTGTGGTGCCCAGAAAGAGCCAAAGCATATTGCATAAGAATGATAGCCCTGGTATCTTGGCTGAATTCCAACTCTCATAAAGACGTCTCCCTCCCATACTTTCTGCTGGACACAGGAAGTTTCTCTCTGGCCTAAATTATTGTGACGTGTTGGTGTGTACTTTTAAACAGCTGCTGCATGCCAGCATAGAGGGGGCAGCATTTCAGTGTTGGCTAAAGAGATCGCTGCATGCTGGTTCCATATGAAGTTTATACTGCAGTCTCAGGTGACAGAAGTATTCAAAATACAATTATCATCTTGCTGAATAATTATAATCCTTGCTAATTCGTTTGGCAGCGTCCCAGTCTGGTCAATAGGGTTATCCTGGGATGACCGAGTAAGAAAAGTATTCAGGGCAAAGGTAATGCAGATCATTGTCCTGAGCAACTCCAAAACTGTTCTCGGTGGCTGATTTGGGATATGCGAAAGGAGGCACCAACCTGGGAGGGAAAGGTAGGGAGAGAGCTGACCTGGCTAAGGAGTTCTATGAACTCAAGTTGAGACACTCCCAATTGATAGTGTATGCACTCTTTAGAGCATTCCTAGAGTGAAGACCAAGGGTACATTTTCCCAGTGGGCAGACTGAGATGAGATTCCACAAAGAAGGTCAGTCATTTGAACCCGGTTCAGCTAATGAGAACAGTCTGTTAAACGCTACGTTTACGTTCTTGCCGTATTGGGGATGGTGCTGGTTGGTTTGTGCCTTCATCACGTTGATCTCTCTCTCTCTCCAAATAGCATTGTCGAGTTCCATCCTGATATCTCCCGCTTGCAACTCTTCTCCTCTTCCATGGACTATAAAATCCGGATCTGGGACCTGAAATCCAGCAAGTGCATCGCCTCTCTCGACGGACACTACAGTGCAGTCACCTCTCTGGCTTTCACTGCAGATGGGGACACGCTCGTCAGGTAAACTTGCTATGGGCTTATCAGAGCCCAGTTCAGATTCTCCCTCGTGGGGTTTGCTGTTTGAGCGAAGAAAGGGAACGTTGAGGCTCAGTTGGGGCTCCAAGGGGGGGAGAGGTTGAGGGTCTGGGTTTTACTTAATGTGCCTCAGTGTCCCCAAGTGTAAATTGGAGATAATACTGCCCTGCCCCACAGGGTCGCATGTGGCTTTGTTCGTCATGCATCTGACCGAGAGAGGGGTTGACTAGCCACACTCTGTGTCTGACTTGGCTGTGAGATTCTTGCCTAGAAGGTGCTGGCAGTGACTTTCTTTGTAACCTTTGTTGCAGTGCCGGTCGTGATAAAATCTGTATGGTATGGGACCTGAAAACAAGAGAAGCCAAGAGGACAGTTCCTATATATGAGGTGAGATTGCTTCACTGGCAGTGTGTGACCTCTAGTCAGGAGAAAAAGGACCTGCTTGTGATTCCAAGTGGTTTCTCGGGCTGTTAAAATCTTCTTACCTTTCATTTAGCCTCATGGTTTGTCAATGTCTCTGGCAGAGTGTGGAGGCCGCAGTATTGTTACCGGAGGGTGGAGATTTCTCACACGTAGGTGTGAAGAAACAAGGGCTTCACTTTCTCACAGCTGGCAGCAAAGGTGAGTGACCCCTCTGGAATGTCCTGTCATTGCTCTCCAAGGAGTAAACGATACTTTGTGGCCAGCCGTTGTCAGGGCTCAGCTCCCTTCCCATTGCTCTGTGTCTGTTGACGGAGCCCATCTTAGGGACGGGCGAGCTGGGTGGTCGCCTGGGGCCACCATTTTCAAGGGGCTGCTGACAGAGCCGGTCTCAGGGGCGGACTCTGACTGCATTTTGGCCCGACTCCTGAATCCTCCCCCCAGGTTTCCCTGGTTACTCCCTGACACATTTTTGTCAAGTGGTTTTTTTTTGTTTTGTTTTTTTTTAAGCCATCTGGCAACCCTACAGGTGAGCCGGGCAGTCGCCCAGGGCCGCCAGTTGGTTAGCACCGGCCCTATCTGAAAGCCAGGTCCAGTTCAGTGAGCCTGTTCTGCCACTTGAAATATTTAAAGCTACGCTTTCCCTCCTTCCCCATCCCTGCTCAGCTATTAAAGTCCCCAGTGCCAGGTTGGCGAGTGGAGGATGAAAGCCTGCTCAGGTTGCATGGTCTAGAGCAGTGTTTCCCAATTTTATTTGTCCACGGAATCCTTTTAAACTTGAAAGAATTTTGCGGAACCCTTAATAACAGTCTTATGTATGGAGCTGAAAAAGTAGACCCCAAATAAGTAAGGATAATAATAAACTTTGTCCGACGTGGTGCTAGTCTATTCGTATTCCGTCACCCACACGATCCACGCTGTCTGAGAGTGAGTACGGGGATTTACGGTGGTATATAACAGGCGATCGTATCACTAACTGTGCAGCGCTGACTAGTTGTGATATCCCCGCTCTCTGGCGAAGCTGGCATTACACAGGGACACTTATCGCAGCAAACACAAATTAAAATTATTTTCAATAAAATTCATCAATGCTTCAATATTAATTTTTTTTAAATAATAAAATGTTATTGCAATGGAATTTTCTCGCGGAACCCTTATTTTCACTTTGCAGAACCCCACTGGTCCAGAGTTAATTTAGAAAACACTTTGGCTACATCTACATTGCAGGCTTCTTGCTCAAGAGCATGTCCACACCTCAAAGCACACCGCCAAAGCAATGTGCTTTTGCGCAAGAGAGAGTCCACACTGCATTGATGCTCTTGCACAAGAAAGCTCTGATGGCCATTCTGAGAATGTTCTTGCACAAGAAACCCCTCTGGAGCGTTCACACTTGCTTTTTTGCACAAGAACTCTTGCGCACAAGGGAGTTATGCCTCGTAAAAGGAGGTTTTCCTAAGATGGAAAAAGCCTTCTGTTCTGCTGTTTTCCTGTTGATTTCCTTGCGCAAAAGCGCATTTGAGGTGTGGACGTTCCACAAGTTTTTGCGCAAAAACCTTGCAGTGTAGACGTAGCCTTTCTGTCTTCAGAGTTACATTGACATGAGAACTGCACCGATTTAAATGAAATTGACTTTTAAACCAGTGCAAACCCCTCTGTGGACACTTCAATTGCAGTGGCTTGCTTTAGTCTCGCTTTCATCTGTTCCTAATCAATTTTAGCTAACCTGAAATAAGTCTGGCTTAGATCAAAGTCAGAGGGTCAAGTCAGGCTTTCACAGCCAATCAGTTTAAATCACACCCTTAGCTCACCCAGTACAGCTGCCTCCTAAAGTCAAGGCTGGAGTTTAAACAGATACGCCTCCAAGGACCTTTCTGAACATATTGTGTGGGTAACACTGTGCATCCTGTGCATTAGGGATCCTGCGCATATGGGAAGCCGCCACAGCTGCCTGCGTGTACACCCAGATTGTGCCCTACCGACGGGTGGACACCAAGGAGGAAGAAGGGGGCAGCGTGCGCAGTCTGACACATTGCATGCTCGTGCCGGGGAAAAATGAGATCGCGGCTGTGACAGCTGAGCATAATATCCTCTTCTACGATGCCCAGACACTTCAACTCAGAAAGCAGGTACCGCGTACAAGCCGCATTGCCCCTTCTCTTCCCCACCCAGCCCTTCTCTTCCCCACCCATGCCTGGGACAGTGTGTCCAATGGCCTTTTCCCCCAGCTGTTGCTGCCCTTTTCTCCTTGCTACTCAGATCCATTTCCAATGCGCAGAGTGCAGGTTTCTTTGGGGGAGCTTTGCATTGCACTGGGTTGGAGCCCAGGCAGGAGGAACCCAAGACCTGGCATAAGCAGTTATTTCTTCTTAAAGACACAAAACAGACAAAAGGGCAGTGAGGGGCAGATCATCAAGGAATGCTCCACATCCTTAAATATCTACATCCACGTCTACAGTAGACCTGGCAGCTCAGTTTAAGGCACACAATTCCAGCTGTGTAGAATATGTAGCTGGAGTCAGCTTCCCTTAAGCAGAGCTTGGCAGCATCCCCACAGAGGGAGGCTGACAGGAGCAAAAGGAGGAGTACTCAACACTGGCAAGAGGTGGTGGGGCCTCTGAATTTGATTTAGGGAGTCTTAACTAGACTTGCTAAATTGAACTCCGGAAGATGGATTGCAGGAGGAGCGATCTCCCTTTTATCGTAGACAAGGCCTGTGTGTTGAACGGAGACTGTGCTGTGGCGGATAGCTTTTAAGCATGGCATCAAGCGAAAGATCAACAGGAATGCACATCAGTGCAGTGCCACCGGCCACGGTGGCTGTCATTTGGCGTCTCTCGCCAGCATGTTTCTTGCCCATTAAGTTGTTTCGTTGCCTTCAGTTTGCAGGTTACAACGATGAGGTTCTGGATGTGCGGTTCCTGGGCCTGGCTGACTCTCACATTGTGGTGGCTACTAACAGCCCTCAGCTGAAAGTGTTTGAGCTGGCAACGTCGCACTGCCAGATCCTGTACGGCCACACAGGTGCGCAGGGGTCTAGCGGCTCTGTGGTGGGCAGGGAGGGGTCTGTGTGGCTATCCCCGGGAACTGGCTTCTCTCCTCCCACGACTCGTCTGTGTGCAGGCCGCTCTAGCTCTCTGGAGCAGGAGGGCGTCGTGGGCTCTGCAGGGGTGGGCATGGACGCTCCTGCTGCTGTCCCCGTTTTGCATAAAGAGACGCCTTTATTGTCCAGGGTTGCTGGCTTAGCATCTTTTGCCAGCTCTGGAATCCCCTGATGTTCTAGCTAGGAGGTGGGGAGCAATGGCCAACGCTGAGTGTTAGCGCACTTTGGTTAAACCCCCCAGGTCTGCAAACTTAGCCATGCCTTACCAGCAAACGGCAGAGCTCACAACGTACGGGTGTGGTTTTAAGCCCCACACAGCTTCCCTCCCCCATGGGGCAGTGGATGCTGCATTACTCCATGCATTCCTGTTGTCTAAATAAAACATGGCGCCGATGCCTCTCGTGTGTGGGAGGTGCGCCGATAAACATCCACCACGCTCCTTGTCCTTCAGAGCCCTTCCTAGAACGCCCCTTTTGTTGCACGCCCATCACAGCATCTTGGCAGCGGTTGCCCTGGCGGGGTGCTGGGACTGCTGCGAAACATACTGACTGGTATTACCAATGTTCCCATGCTGCCCCACCTGTCTGCGTATGTCTGCTGTCTCGGGTTTTATATTTGACCCAGCTCTGAAGAGCTTACAGTCTGGGTTCCCTGTCAGCTGGGTGCGCGGGCAGCCGCTCAGGAGGCCACCCCACTGATTAGCAGAGCGCCCCTAGCTAGGTTTGTGTTTCTCCTGGTGGTGCACATCCACACACGCCTCAGTGCACATAAATTTATTCTGCACGTGACTGGAAAAGATTAGAGGGAATATTACTTCAACTAATTTTTTTGTTCTCTTTGAACCTTGCCTTGCACAAAAGGATTTTGGTCCATGTCTAGGGCTTTTAAGTTCTACAGCGTTACAAACAATTAATTGCTGCCGTCTTTCCTTTCAGAAACGGTTCTTGCCTTGGACGTCTTCAGGAAGGGCTTGATGTTTGCCAGCTGTGCTAAGGTAAGATGATAATTCTGTCCCTGGATGCTTACAGTGATTTTTATTGTTGTGGGCAGTTTTCTTGCTCCTCATCAATTTTGGAAAGGGCCTTTGTACTGAGGGGAACTTCTGTCCGTCCTACCTCTGACACAAAGTTGTTAAACTCCTTTGAAGCCCTATGTCCTTATTCCTATCAATTTTTACTATTGTCCTTCAAAAACAGTGTTCTTATATGGGCTGGTTTTATTACACTGGCCCAACAGGAACTTCCAGCTGTTTTATCTTCCTAAAATCTTCCTAGTTGTGCCGTTCTTAGTAAGAGTGTCTCTCCAGCATGTGAGCTCGGAGCTGTTCAATGCTGCAAAGGTGGCTGGAGCAGTATGTAGCCTAGATGTTCAGAGACAAGTGGCAGGCTGTCCCAGCAGGCTCAAAAAATAAAGCAACTCACGTACATTTTCGCCTTCCATTTAAATGAATTTGTCTAGCTTAGTTTGTAGGGAAGGAGCTTTAGGTTGAATATTAGAGAATACTATAGAATAAGGCTTCACCCTCTATATAAAACATGGTACGCCCACATCTTGAATCCTGCGTACAGATGTAGTTGCCTCATCTCAAAAAAGATACACTGCCATTGGAAAAGGTTCAGAAAAGGACAACAAAAATGATGAGGGGTTTGGAACAGGTGCCGTATGAAGAGAGATTAAAAAGACTGGGACTTTTCATCTTAGAAAAGAGGCGACTAAGCGGGGATATGATAGAGGTCTATAAAATCATGAGTGGTGTGGGAAAAGTTATTTACATATTCCCACAATATAACAACTAGGGGTCACCAAATGAAATGAATAGGTAGCAGGTTGAAAACAAACTAAAGGAAGTTTTTCTTCACTCAGTGCACCGTCAACCTGTGGAACTCCTTGCCAGAGGATGTGGTGAAGGCTAGGACTTGAACAGGGTTCAAAAAAGAGCTAGATAGGTACATGGAAGTTAAGTCCATCAATGGCTATTAGCCCAAATGGGTAGGAATGGTGTCCCTAGCTTCTCTTTGTCTAGAAATGGGTGACAGGGGAGGGATCGCATGAAGATTACCAGTTGCGTTCCCTCCCTCTGGGGCAACTGGTATTGGCCACTGTTGGCAGACATTGGGCTAGGTGGACTTTGGTCTGACCCAGTCTGGCCCTTCTTATGTTTTCATGTTATGTTCTTAAGACAATTTCCTAACTCTAAGAAAAGCTGAGCACCAGAACTGGTTGCTAGGGAGGCTGGGGATGCTCTTCCAAGATTTGTAAGCACAGGAGGGTGAATGTAAGTAACCTCTTATGCACAGAATCCTAGAGAGGGAGGGTTTGTTGCTTGGGCTGCTAAGCTGGAATCCCTCCTTGCACAGCTACCCCCGTCTGTCTGTACCAGGCGATGATCGTGCAGTGACTCCAGGCATAGATACTAACACATGCATTAGCTGTTGGAATGCTAATCGGTTCACTTGTCAGCAAACTATAGCCTCTTTCCTCTTGCAGGACAGAAGCCTCCGGGTTTGGCGGATGGATAAAGCAGGCGAGGTGACCTGCGTGGCCGAGGGATTGGGTCATGCCCATGGCGTGGGCGCGCTCTCTTGCTCAAGGTAACGGAGGCATCTTTCCTCTTGTGTGTGGTTACAGTCCACAGGGATGAAACCACAGTCTGTGTAAGCCAATCTGCTGCGGTGTCGCAGGCCAATCAGGGTGAGCACGTTGACTGGTCTACTACGTAGTTGAGAGTTTGTCCGTTCAAGAACGCCTCCTAACCGGTAAGAGCTGGGAGCACCACATGCGGGAGGCAGCTGCCTCTTCTCCAAACTTAAAGCAAGGTCAGGTTTTGGTGGGGCCAGGACAATGGGATGTGCCTGGAATGGGTTGGTTGTGCTTCTCATCAAACCATACAGAAAATAGACAGTCACCGGCAGGCTGGCCCTGTCCGCCCCCTTCCTTCCCGGTTCGGGACTGCCCCAGTCCTGACCCTTCCACCGCCCCCCTACCTACCCTCGGGGCACTTGGGAGAGTGGTGGAGCTGAAGTGCCTCTTTTCCCCCCCTCCTTCTCCCCCATTCATACGGAGACATTGCTGACTGTTCCCTATTGTCTGGGAGTGAGGAGGAAGCGCACAGTTTGCTACATTCCTCACTCTGGTTGGGGCACACAGGAGGCCAATGAACCTGGACCTGCCTTAGCTGGGAGACCTGCACCTTTCCCCCAACTGTGCCTGCAGGAGCTGCAGCGGCCATGGGGAGGCGCTTCTCCCTTGATCCCAAGCTGTTGTGGGGAGAGAGGGCTGGGGTTGTCCTCTCTGCCTGGGGCAGCCTGAACCCCTCCTCCTCAACCCCACCCCAGAGCCATGATTCACATGAAGCCTGGACTTTTTTCTTTTTTAAATTAAGGACCCAAGCAACGCTGGGTCGATCTTCTAGTAGGATGTGTCTAGACTACAGGGATTTTTTTGAGAAAAGGGGGCCTTTTTTCGAAAAATCTGTACCTGCATCTAGACGTCAGCCACGTTCTTTCGAAAGTAAATCGAAAGAACGCGGCAGCTTTTTGACTGCAGAAAACCTCGTTTTATGAGGAAGAACGCCTGTTTTTCGAAAGTGCTCTCAATAAAAGACCCTACGTGATGCAAACTGTGCTTTTTCGAAAGAGAGCATCCAGACTGCCTGGGTGCTGTCTTTCGAAAAAGCGGTTTGCTTTTTCGAAAGTACTGGTTGTCGTCTAGACGCTCTTTTTTTCGACAGTATCTTTCAAAAGAGGCTTGCAGTCTAGATGTAGCTATAATGTTGAAAGAGACATTTTTGTCCCACCCTGTTGCCTTACCACCCCCAACTCTTGTGTTTGCGCGTCTCCTCTGTGTCCACCTGGCTCAAGTCCGTGCAGAACAAAAAGCTCTAGGAACCTTGGTCCATATGGCTCTGGATTATGTTGCGGTGAATCAGAGGGACGGATTGGGACGGCAGAGAGAATACAACTTGTTAAGACATCTCTCCAGGTCTTCTCCTTTCTTCACGTTCACTCCGTTTTGCAGTTCGGTTTTCGTATTGGAAAGCTGCAGTGTATTAGATGATCTTGGGCCAGAGGAGTCCCGGTGCCTGTACTGGGGGCTGTCATCAGGGTTCAAGTGAAATGAACTAAAACTTTTCAAAATCCCGAGACAGGCAGCTGTTTGAAATCCCAGCTGAGTGTGCAGGATGAGGCTGGTGACAGAAAAGCCCCCTTCTCTGTGCAGGTGAAGTGGTGGGTTTGCTTTATTGCATTTGACATTTTTCCTCTTCATATCTCTCCCCGCTCCTGCTTCCAGAATGAAAGAGAGCTTTGTAGTCACTAGCAGCCAAGACTGTACGATCAAAGTCTGGAATCTCCCAGAGTCCCTCACTGCCAAAGCAAAAGCAGGCTTGATCGCCAGCCCTGAAACACTCCATGCCCACGTGACTGAGAGGGGTCACGACAAGGTAAAATGTCAGCGGGCTTGAAAAGTTTTTCTCTCTGGAAGATGAGGCAGTTCTTGTGCTCTGTGTTCTGAGTGCCTTCGGCAGCCTAAGAAGCACATCAGAACGGCCATATTAGGTCAGACCAACGGTCCATCCAGCCCAGTGTCCTGTCATCTGACAGTGGCCAATGCCAGGTGCCCCAGAGGGAGTGAACAGAACAGGGAATTGTCAAGTGATCACCATCCTACCCATCCTGGCTAATAGCCATTGATGGATCTAACCTCCATGTGTTTATCTAGCTTTTTTTTGAACCCTGTTAAAGTCCTGGCCTTCACAACATCCCCTGGCAAGGAGTTCCACAGGTTGACTGTGCGTTGCATGAAGAAATACTGCCTTAAGTTCGTTTTAAACCCTGCTACCTATTCATTTCATTTGGGGACCCCTAGTTCTTGTGTTATGGGAACAAGTAAATAACTTTTCCTTATTCTCTTTCTCCATGCCAGTCATGATTTTATAGACCTCTCTCATAGCCCTCCTTAGTCTCCTCTTTTTCTAAGCTGAAAATTTCCAGTCTTTTTAATCTCTCTTCATAATTCCTAATAATTTTTGTTGCCTTTTTTTCTGAACTTTTTCCAATGTTAAGATCTTTCTTGAGATGAGGTGACCATATCTTCATGCACTATTCAAGTTGTGGGCCATGGATTTATAGAGGCAATAAGATATTCTCTATCCCTTTTTTAATGATTCCTAATACTCTGTTTGCTTTTTTTGACTGCTGCGGCACATTGAGTGAAGGTTTTCAGAGAACTATCCACAATGACTCCAAGATCTCTCTTGAGCCAGGCCTGGTTCAGGGTTCTGTGCATTACGGACAGCATGACTGATGAAATAATTTCCACTAATATCAGACAAGGAAAATCAGCGATTTATTTGTGAAGTGGAGGCCAGAGAAATCCCCCTGAAGCTATTTGTTTCTTTCTCCACATAAATCATTTCCCAAGACAGAGCATGTTTTTTTTTTCTCCCCCCCTCTTTCTCTGTGGCTTTCGTTCCCATATTTTAGTTGTCCTCTTTGAATCTCAGATCAGTACGAGAAACAGGTGCCTGTATGAGACTGATGGAGATAGCGGGGCTTGACTTGGGGGCACCTACCTAAAAGCATAGAACAGCTGCCCAAAAGGAAACATTTTTATATCCTGGAGAGATCACTTCATGGGAAGATGTTTTATTTAGTTTCTAGTTGAGCTGTAACAGAATAGAGCATGCCAAGTGTGCTAGCTGTAAAAGAGAGAGAGTGCCAGGAACAATGAATCTTGAGGTCTCAGAATGAGCTTAGCCAGAATTTGTATCTCTCTTCTCAGCCCTGGGCTAAAGAATTTCACTGCTTTGCTCCTTTTGTGTGACTTTCTCTAGGATATAAACAGTGTGGCAGTGTCTCCAAATGACAAACTGATCGCCACCGGCTCGCAGGACCGGACGGCCAAGCTGTGGTCCTGCCCTGATTGCTCTCTGATGGGCGTCTTCTCGGGACACAAGCGTGGGATCTGGTGCGTGCAGTTTTCTCCCGTGGATCAGGTCCTGGCCACCTCCTCCGCAGATGGCACCGTGAAGCTGTGGGGTCTTCATGACTTCAGCTGTTTGAAGGTAATGGAAATTCAAACTCCTGGATCCTCTGCAAACGCTTGAAGGTGGCAGAGGTTTTCCAGGGCTGCTCCAAAGAGACCTGGCTTGGTCAGACTAGTGGAAGTGGAGCCATCAGAAGGGAAAAGTTGTTCAGGCCTGAATTCGTTCTCCATCGGGATCTGAGATGTGCACAGATAGGAAGCTCCGTAGCAGGACTCTTGTTGCCTCCTTCCTTCTCTGGCTAGCCCAGGAGCAGTGTGGGCTGGTTGCAGGGGGTGGTTGTAGTCCATCCTTGGAAAGAAGGCTGGATTGACAGGACACAGCCAGGACCTTGAAGGACATAGGCATAGAATAGAGCAGTTTGTCTCTGGGTCTTCAACAGAGACCTCACTTCGGTCGGTCTCCTTATTCTGAGGAGGAGGTAGACCCTACATAGCAGCTGCCTTGTTGCATGTTCCTACTTTTAGATCACTTAGCAGCCCCAGTGCCACCATCCGCCTGTGGCTATTCCCCAGGGATGAGATCTCACTTGTATCTTAATGTTTGCAAGACACATTAAGCGGGCAAATCAACTTTTCAGCCGCTGACAGATCCAGTTAATGTAAATGTCCGTCGTGCTGTGCGGGATTTAACCTTGGATCGCAGGTGCACACTTTTAAAAGGTAGCCCTGGGATGCGTCCTTCCTTCCCCCGGCTCTCCCCTATCCTGCACCTTGCCAGGGATATGACCTACCTGCCTGGAGCTTTCTCTAGCAGCTTTAGTTCTCTTGAAAGAAGATGCCATTTCAAACCGTCACGTAGCCCCAATCCGCACAGCAGGGTCTCCCCCATGCTCTGGCCTAGCAGACATGCGTTTCACCGCAAGGGTGACTCTAATACTGTTACTTTTTGTGCTCTCCTCCCCCCCGCCAGACTTTTGAAGGCCACGACGCCTCAGTGCTGAAGATGGCTTTTGTGAGCCGCGGGACACAGCTGCTTACGAGGTATGGCCTTTCCCTGGGCGAGGCTGGGCCAGGGCCGTGAACTGGAGAGCAGAGGCTTGAGCGGGAGGTGGTTGTTGATTTGCAAATCCCCTTTCCCAGGCCGAGAGGTGGGCTTGGCAGATGGGACTCTGGCGAGAGAGGGGGGCACATTCGGCTCTGGAGTAAGCAAGTGGCGCTCCACTGAAGTCGGTGGTGGGAGGGGCCTGCTTACCTGGGCACTGGATTAGGCCCAGAATGTCCTCAAGCTAGCAACCAGAGGGGTCAGCACCAGGCCCCCTGACTGTCCCCCTTTCCCAGAAGCAGACTAAGTTTGCCCCCTTGCTGATGGGAAATGCTGGGTTTCCGCTGAGCTGTCTGCAGTGACGGGTCTGCTCCTACCTGTCCTCCAGTCTAGCACCTGTGCTGCCCTGCCCCAGTGTCGCGTCCCCCCAACCTGCTGGAGTGGGAGCGATACGCTGTAGCTGGGGAGTTTCACCTATCGTAGCTGGCAGAGCAAGAATCCGTCAGCCAAAGGGAACAGAGGCAGAACCCTGCAGGAAAGGAGGTTCTGCCTTTTCTGGCTATAAACAGAAATAAAACCCGAATGAATGACCTTCGCCCCATCCACGCAGAGTGCAGTGGAGAGAGCCAATGAATTGCATAGGCAGGAAGATGTAAGTTGCGGTTTAAAACTTTCAGTTCAGAGAGGAAAGATGGTTCAGCATAGGGATGTGGGGGGGGAGCAGGAGCCAGTGCTGGGAGGAGCCGGCTTAAAAGCCGCCCCCCCCCAGCTCTGTCTCCGCAGGGGGCAGGGGACGTAGAGGTGTAGCAGGGGACTGGGTGCAAGACGGGACTCAGCTGTTCCAGCTCACGCCTGGCCTCCCACCCACTTTGCTTCAGCCTTTTAAATATATGAAGACTGTAGCAGCTCTTAATACATCTAAAAGGCAGAGCTGCAGTGGTGTTAGGTCCAAGGGCCAGGAGCTAACCCCACTGTGGCTCTGCAGTTTCCCCCCTTATCGACTAACCGATGGAAATTGCATCAACTAGTCAATTAGTTGATTAAACACAATTTAACATCCCTAGTTCAGGAGCTAACATGCTAACCTGGGGCTTGGGAGACACCAGTTTGGTTCTTGCCTCTGCTACCAACTTCCTGTGTGTCCTTGGGCAGATCATGTACTCTGTACCTCAGCTCCCTATCTCTACAATGGGTATAACAGCACTGCCTTGCCTCCCAGGGGTGCAGGGAGGGTACATACATTCAGATGCTGAGTGCCTCGGTACTGCCATGTGACTCGCCAAATTAGAAAGAATACAGTAAGGGGGTGTTCGCAGCGTCCTTTGGTTTAGTTTGAAATGAGCTTTAATGTGGCAGATTCCTGAGACGCTGTGAGATACTGCCGCTTTCACCAAGCGCTCTCTTCTGATAGGAGAGCAGAGCGAGATTGATCACCACGGTCCTAGCACTTCTGAAGCAGAAACCCCTGTAGCAGCTACTGCTTTAGCAAACTAGCCACGTTACTCTGCAAATGTCAATAATTTTGTGAGCCAACTAGCCACACTCAACCAGCCAAATAGCCACATATGTTGGCTAATGGTGAGCGTGTTGGACACGGTGGGTCTAGTGTCTGTTTCAATCCAGGGGTTTATTGTTTGTTAAACCAACGAGTGTGTGAAAACATTAGACGGTCACGAAGATAAAGTGTGGGGTCTCCACTGTAACAAACAGGATGACCTGGTCGTGACAGCATCCAGCGATTCCTGCATCATCCTGTGGAAGGTATTGGACATGGTCCTCCTTCACTTTGCTTTAAGAATGGGGGGGAAGTGAGGTCTAGTGGTCAGAGTCCAGGACTGGGAACCAGGCTGCCTGCCTTCTGCTCTCCTCATCCTCCCCATCTGTAAAATGGGGATATGCAGAGACTGATTCTGAGGCTCCAGAACAGCACTGGACACGTCTCTTGAAAGGCAGGGGCAGGAAATGCCCGGGGCAGCCTGCCAATATATTGTGAGCGCCAACAATGGCTTGGAAGGGCTTGGTCCGTGGTGCTGCGGATAATTTGGGGAGCAGCTACATTCCGCATAGCGGGATTGACAGCAGCTGTTGTGATCTGTTAAAGGATGTCACTGAAATTGAACTGGAAGAGGAGCAAGCTAAGCAAGAGGAGCAGATTATGAAGTGAGTAGCCCTGACAATACTTTGGAGAATGCATTGTCTGCTTTACCGCGTGCCAGCCTCGTGAAACTGCTCTAAAGCCTTCCCATTCCTCCTTATTCGGTCAGCAACGGGATTGACAGCAGCTGTTGTGATCTGTTAAAGGATGTCACTGAAATTGAACTGGAAGAGGAGCAAGCTAAGCAAGAGGAGCAGATTATGAAGTGAGTAGCCCTGACAATACTTTGGAGAATGCATTGTCTGCTTTACCGCGTGCCAGCCTCGTGAAACTGCTCTAAAGCCTTCCCATTCCTCCTTATTCGGTCAGCAAATTTTCTGTGTGTCTGTCCCGTAATATCTCTTAGTCTCTCTCTCTCTACTGCTGTAGGTTACTTTGGCTTCCCATGGTCTTCGTATAATAACCATTAACTTGGAAGACCATTAACTTGGAAGTCCATGAACGTCAGGGTTCTGTACTGCTGAGAGAGGCCAAGTCAGACCCCCAAAACTTACTCCTCATTCTTTTTCATCTGTGTCAGCCAAACACAGAGTAACTCAGGAAACCCTTCACCATAATGCCAGGCTAATTATCAACACACTAAGGGCATGGACAAGCCTGCTTTGAAAAACTTCTTGGCACTGGATCTGTATGCATTGTTACTAGTGAATTTGCTGCAGAATGTTTTGTTCTCTCAAGCAAATGAACCTCTGACAGCCTCTTCTTCCTGACTGCGTTACAGAGACCAAGAGCTTTCCAACCTGCTCCATGAGAAAAAATACCTGAAAGCGTTAGGGCTGGCAATCTCTTTGGATCGGCCACATACAGTGCTGACCGTGATCAAAGGTAGGTGTCCACTGTCCGGCAGTTTGCTTCCTGGTATGTTCCAAATCGTGCCCTGCTGTCAGGTGACAGACAGAAACCTGGAGTCCGGGAGCAAGCTAAGTGAGAACAGCAGGGTATGAAGCCCACCTCCATTTTCCGATTGGCAATCACCAATGCTCCACTGCATTGTGCCCACCAGCAACTGTTCCCTCTGATCTCAGCACACGCACGTGTCAGGAGAGGTCTGAGCATGGCGGATGTTAAACACTGCCCTGTGCAGACCTCGGTGGCTTCTCTGAGCGTCATGCACAGTGGCTGATTGTCCAAGAGCAGCGGGCCTTTGAGTTAGCATACAGGGCAGCTTTTGTCACTACAGCCAACAGCCTGAAACCGGACTCATGACTCAGGTTAATTGTTACCTTGCAGCATTTGTCTGCACTTTAAAAATGGCTCATGGCAATTACTCCACAAGCAGCTCTTCACAGCACCCCAGCTCAGGTTGCTGAGCAGGTGTTCCCTGAGGTCACATCCAGGCTTAGAGTTTGGCAGAGAAACTAGGCCTAACGTTTGTGGGGAGGGGGGGTTCATTGGTGATGAGTAGGGCCCTACAAAAATCACAGCCGTGAAAAACACGTCACAAACTGTGAAATCTGTGCTCCGTGAAATCTGGTCTTATGTACCTTGTACTACTCAGTTTTCTCGGGGCCAACCAGCATTTCTCGTACCGGGGGTCCTGGTTGAAAAGAGGATTGGGGAGGGTCACACAGTTATTGTTAGGTGTGTCACGGTGTTGCCACGCTTATTTCTGTGCTGCCTTCAGAACTAGATGGCCACATGCCCGGCTCTGAAGGCAGCGCGGCACTAGCAGAAGTATGGGAGACAACAATTTTCTTCAACTGGGTCACGAGAAAAAGTTGGAAAACCGTTGCGCTAAAGCATCTCTGATAAAGGGTTGTCAGAATTTAACATTCAAA